ATTTTAAAAAATCTAAATAGAAAAACAAAAAATGAAAAGGGTATAAACACCTAATCCAGGAATGGTATTTTACGGTGCAGCATAATAGGATTTTTAGATTATACATAACAAAACTAGTATCTGCACGAACAAAAAACATCCCGTTCTTTGGTGTTTTACAGAGATCCTTAAATAAAGAAAAAAAACAGTAGAGCAAGGTTGTTTTTTAAAAGCATTCATATTCCACAGCGGTTGCTATAACATGAGGTCCCTTTGCAGAAATCTGTCACAGTAAACATCAGTAGAAATTAAGTATACGGTGAATAAAAACATATCATAGTAGATTTAGTCCAATCCAATCTTTATTTAAAGTAAACATGTAAAGACATCAATGAAATGTGTGCAATAAAGGAGAGTAACAGAGTAAAGGCCTAAGTCCAGCTGAAATTTACATGCTCTGAACTTCCCTTAATCCAGGTTTACTGCTGTCTCCCACCAAATTCACAAAACTCGGTATGAGATGAAAAATTGGCATCTTGCACTCTGCACCAAAGAAGAAACTCAGCGGATAGATTTTCCTCAGTGTTTTATTGAGAAGAGATTTCAATCTTCTGGTTCTATTTTAAAGTTTGACTCAGAGGTTGTTCATAAAGTTTACTCCGGGGATAACTTCCTAATGTTTTCACAATTCTGTTTGCAAACACTAAGAAATAAATTGCCCCCCTTTATCTGCTCTTCTTCAACTCTGGGTTGTATTGTTAAAGATGTAATCTGTTTTATTTACAAATCCTTGCATTTGTGTCTAATTATTATTTTAAAGGAGTCCAGACCAGTAAAAGATAATCTTTGCTTATCTGCTTGATAAAAAAAAATCTAGCCTATATTAAATGTGTATGTCCATTAAAAAGGAATTCAACTTATTGAATGTTTTAGATATGTTTAAAAAAAAAATAATGAAAAAATGAATGCCACTGACTTCTATTTGAAGGGATTCTTTTTTGTTTCTCCTACATACAGATGAGTTTGATTAATCTCTCAGTGTGATTCAAAACAAAATGTGAGCAACTGGTAAACTCGACAAATTGAAATAAAATTGGAAGAAATTAAATGCTCTGTCAAGTCCTTTTACAGTGGGAATACACAAATTAGTTTTGGCTCCTTGTGACAACACGTTCACTCATGGAGAATAATTTTCTCATTAATCGTGCTCATCCTGTCTGTTTCCATTATACAGGTGCTGGTCATAAAATTAGAATATCATGAAAAAGTAGATTGATTTCAGTAATTCCATTTAAAAAGTGAAACTTGTATATTATATTCATACATTACATACAAACTCATATATTTCAGATGTTTATTTTGTTTAATTTTGATGATTACAAATGACAACAAATGAAAATCTCAAATTCATCATATCAGAAAATTAGAATATTGTGAAAAGGTTCAAAATTGATGGCCCCTGGTGCCACACTCTAATCAGCTAATTAACTCAAACCACCTGCAAAAGCCTTTAAATGGTCTTTCAGTCTAGTTCTATAGGCTACACAATCATGGGGAGGACTGCTGACTTGACAGTTGTCCAAAAGACGACCATCGACACCTTGCACAAGGAGGGCAAGACACAAAAGGTCATCGCTAAAGAGGCTGGCTGTTCACAGAGCTCAGTGTCCAAGCACATTAATAGAGAGGCGAAGGGAAGGAAAAGATGAGGTCGAAAAAAGTGTACAAGCAAGAGAGATAACCGCACCCTGGAGAGGATTGTGAAACAAAACCCATTCAAAAATGTGGGGGAGATTCACAAAGAGTGGACTGCAGCTGGAGTGAGTGCTTCAAGAACCACCACACACAGACGTATGAAAGACATGGGTTTCTGCTGTCGCATTCCTTGTGTCAAGCCACTCTTGAACCACAGACAGCGTCAGAAGCGTCTTGCCTGGGCTAAAGAGAAACAGGACTGGACAGCTGGTGAGTGGTCCAAAGTCATGTTCTCTGATGAAAGTAAATTTTGCATTTCCTTTGGAAATCAAGGTCCCAGAGTCTGGAGGAAAAGAAGAGAGGCACTTCATCCACGTTGCTTGAAGTCCAGTGTAAAGTTTCCACAGTCAGTGATGGTTTGGGGTGCCATGTCATCTGCTGGTGTTGGTCCATTGTGTTTTCTGAGGTCCAGGTTCAACGCAGCCACATACCAGGAAGTTTTAGAGCACTTCATGCTTCCTGCAGCTGACCAACTTTTTGGAGATGCAGATTTCATTTTCCAACAGGACTTGGCACCTGCACACAGTGCCAAAGCTACCAGTACCTGGTTGAAGGACCATGGTATCCCTGTTCTTAATTGGCCAGCAAACTCTCCTGACCTTAACCCCATAGAAAATCTATGGGGTATTGTGAAGAAGAAGATGCAATACACCAGACCCAACAATTCAGAAGAGCTAAAAGCCACTATTAGAGCAACCTGGGCTATCATAACACCTGAGCAGTGCCACAGACTGATCGACTCCATGCCACGCCGCATTGCTGCAGTAATACAGGCCAAAGGAGGCCCAACTAAATACTGAGTGCTGTACATGCTCATACTTTTCATGTTCATACTTTTCAGTTGGCCAACATTTCTATAAATCCTTTGTTTTTATTGGTCTTCAGTAATATTCTAATTTTCTGATATGATGAATTTGAGATTTTCATTTGTTGTCATTTGTAATCATCAAAATTAAACAAAATAAACATCTGAAATATATGAGTTTGTATGTAATGTATGAATATAATATACAAGTTTCACTTTTTAAATGGAATTACTGAAATCAATCTACTTTTTCATGATATTCTAATTTTATGACCAGCACCTGTATTAACAATTTAGCATTTTGTGAAATACATATTTCCTGACAGCTTGACATTTCCTTTGGATGGAGTTTATTGTGCTCATGCTTCCTGCGGAGTACCATCTATTTTAGTTGACTGTTGTTATTGGACCTTTTGGACTGATTTGTTGGCTTCTCTTTTAGTGCTCCATGGAAATGTGTCGCCTGCTCTTTCAAACAAATCTATTCAGATGTGTATTACCTTGAAACCACCTTAACCTTGTCATCTTACAGTTGGAGGTATTTGTGTGATTGATTTTATGAGCTGTGCATAGTTGTGATGATGAAAGTGAATGATACATTGGCTTAGAGGATTTCTCAAGTACCAACTGGAAAAGTGTAGAGAAAAGCTTTTTGCACCATTTTTAGACCTTCAGCTCTAAATAGTGCAACAATCTGAAGAGTGTGGAGAGAAGCTTGTTGCACCATTTATAGCTAAGAGTCTTTTTGAATATCACTGTCAGTCAGGCTGCATGTAGAACTTCTGTAAACCTTATGTAATCCCTCAATATGTATGGATAATAACCATTCCATTTCAGCTCCGGTTGTATGTTTATAGTCGTTGTCCTCTTTGACTTCAGTCAGTGACTTACTGTCAAACAATATTCCAAATTTTGCATATGTCCATTGCTTTCTCCTCTGAAAAGGGAAACTTTTTATTCTAATATAAAAGAGGTTGAGCGATTTTGCAAAGAACGAAAATTAAATATTTGTTTCTAGATGTAGCAAATTAAAAACACAAAAGGAACAAGGGCAATGATTTCGGCTCTAATTGCTGCTGCTGCTGCTGCTGCTGCACAGTTCTGCCTGCATCAATCATAATGGCTATCACAATACACCTCAAGAAGATACACTCAAGTATGTAGCAACTATGACAGGATGTTAAAAAACTCAAAGGGTATAAATACTTTTGCAGTGCTCTACAAAGGATAAAAAATAATAACAAAAAATTGAGTTATTTAATGCCCCGCAGTAGGGAAATAATGCTTTGTACTGTCTGGTAAGGCAAAGTTAAAGGCAAGAATGTGACTGTGAGCAAGTGTTGAAAGTATGATTTAACCGTCAAAAATGTCCATCAGCATTTACATATACATTGGCACATTACATTTCCCCTCATTTCCTTCCCTACTCTCCACCGTTCTGTCATGTTCACATATAAAAAGCAATCCAAGAAAATGCATTTCCTGCAACAGATGGAGCAGAAAATGGACTTACATTCATCCTCAGTGTTAAGTACTGTAGAAGCATCTTTTTCCCCTTTCCACCAGAATGTCACGGTTTATGCATAAAGGTAGCACTACTATATTCATTCACGTTGTTGGTGATTTTTTTGTTCTTCACTTTGTATAAAGATTTGTGAGTAGAGGTATGTTCAAGGCCATTCTTCCTTCCCTTCTTTAATAACTGCCATGTATAGCATTATTTTCCTATACATCTGTATTGAACTGCATCTCTGGAATGGCCTTGCCTTCTTTGCACACACTTTATGTTTTAAAACTCATAAACCTGGCCTTGTAGAATCAAACCTTGAAGCTTTCTGTTATTGACAGGACCAATATTATACTGAAGAATGGGATTCAAAGAGTTGAGTTTAAGTAAAAAAAGAGTTTAAGATTTTTAAAATATGTGGATGGAGAACTGTGAAAAAAAGAAAAAGCAGGCTGATGTTTTTGTAGTTAGTTTTGATTCATTACCCTCCTGTTTGAATTCTCTCCAACTCTGAGTGGTTTCTGAGCTGCTGCTGGGTTTGGTTAAATTACTTTGGTGAAGAGGAGGGGGTGGGGGGGACAAGAGAAAGAAAAGATATTATTCAAGATTGTATTTAATGTTATCTCCTTAATTTCTGCAGACTGAATCCACATTAAAAACACAGTCGGGGCAATTGTGTTTTCCAAACATGCCAGCATGCTTTACTGTTGTTGTTTTTGTTGTTTTTTCAAGACATTTTAATACTTGTTGATTTTTAAAAAAACTCAAAAATCTTTTTGCACCATTCCTATTTCTAGTTGCAGTTTAAAAGTGTCTTAGCTGATTCAGGCTTTAAATGCTGAAATAAACACTCAAATTTATTCAAATAAATGACCAATCACTTGATTTGTTGTTTTTTTTAACTGTAACTGTTAAAATTCAGTTCCTTTATTCTTTTCTCTCTTTCTCTTCCAGGGGAGATTTGTTCCTTTAAGATCTTTGGTCAGGACGCCCCTTTTGAGGCAGTGGTGTTGAATCGCACATCAGGCGAAGGAATCTTAAGAGCTAGCAGCCATGTGGATTGTGAGAATCAGAAGGAGTACACCTTTATCATCCAAGCTTACGACTGCGGTGACGGGCCCAGTGGAGCTAACTGGAAAAAGTCTCACAAGTAAGCTGAGCAAATGAGTCCAATCCCTTTATAAGCCGGAAGGCGGATCTTAGTTGTTAAGCTATTCTTTTAAGCAATTGTATTAAAATTACAAATTTGTGTTTTAAGATGATGAATTTGAAATAAAGAAATATATTAGAAGATAAACAACTCTAACTCTTCATATAGTGGTACCGATAGTTAGATTCATTGTTATATAAACAGTTTATTACTCGGATTAGAGGTAGTTACTTAAATAATCCAGGCCATCATCATCATTTTGCATCTTTTAATATTTCAGTTACTATATGCAAAAACAGTTTTGTAAGCTGTATAGTATACAGTATATATAGAATTCATTTTTCAATTTGAAACTAACAAATAAAACTAATAAAAATATGAGAAACAGCAGTTGTTTTATTCAGAACTTTTTTTTAATTTTCCAATGTCATACTAAACTAGATATATGGAAAAACAGATGAGTAGGGAATAAATTCATTTTATATCACTTTGGGGTCTTGCATCTTATCTTATCTAGCATCTTATCTCTGATTGCTGTCACAAATTACCTCAGGCTACTGGACGATTTGATATGTGCAAGAAACTTTATTTAATAAACAAAATCAGTTGTTCGGGCTCACAATTTTAATAATTAAAGACTGCTAGTATGCTAGTATTTACATGTTGTGATTTTCCTGTGATTCTCCAGTCTACTTCTCTTGCTACTTGTGCCTCATAAAAATCACCTCAGAGACCAAGGAGTTAATTTTATAAGCTTGTTATCTGTTTTCTTTGTACCTAAAGTAGCATGGACATGTTGAACCATCTCCATGTGTCTATATAATCTTCTATCCATCCATCTTCTCCGACATATTTCTTTAGAGTCACTGTGCGGCCAGTGTCTATCTCTAGCAGTCTAAGGGCGGTAGGCGGGATACACCCTGGATAGGTCGCTAGTCTTTTGCAGGATCTACCATGCACTAACACCTATGGATAACAGTCATGTTTTTGGACTTTGGGAGGAAGCTGGAGTACCCAGAGAGAACCCACGCATGGACTGGGAGAACATGCAAACTGAATGCAGAAAGACCCTGGGCTAGGAATTGAATCCAGAAGACAACATTGCTACACACTTCCACCGTGCAGCCATCTATATTACTTGATGAATCAAAACGAAAAAAAATTTGCGGCACAAAGACATTGCGGGGTCCCTATGACAACTATACGATCTATCTTGATTGATTGATTGATTGATTGATTATTATTTTTTATCTCACAGTGGAGAAATTGAGTCGTTACATCAGCTCAAATAGTCAAAGGAGGAGAAGAAAGTGTCAAAGGAAGAACAAAGTGCATGGGATATATACAGTATATATAGTGCATCCTCATATGACAGCTTTCTTTTTTTCTAGTAGGATTTTTATACAGGGTTATTGCACAGGGTGTTTACATGGGTGTTTATTAGTTATTGCACTGGGTATCAAATAGTAATTGCACATTATACATTGCACAAGTTATTGCCGTTGCTGTGTCTTATTGTAGAGTCTGGTTGCAGCAGGGATGAGTGACCTGGGGTAGCGCTCCTTTTTACAAACAGAGTGTAAAAGTCTTTCACTAAAGGAGCGGCTCAGCTCCTCTACAGTCAGGTGCAGAGGGTGGAAGGTGTTGTCCATGATGGATGTGAGCTTAGACAGCACCCTCTTCTCAGCCACTTCCTTCACTTAGTCCAGAATGCAGCCTAGGACAGAAACGGTCTTTCTCACTAGTTTTTTCAGTCTCTTTCTGTGCCACTCCGTGCTACAAGGGGCCCAGCAGACAACACCTTAGAGCAGGGCTGATGCCCACCACAGAGTCAAAGAAGCCTCCTCAGGAGGTGGAGGCTCTTTATCTGCTCATTTCTAGGGTAATAAATCATTCCAGAGTCCTGCTCGGGTCTGATTTTTCAAAGACTATGCGCCCGCACCCGTAGAGTTTAGGACCGAGACCCGACTTGTTGGCCACCATTAACCCCATTTAAAACCTGGCTGGGACTGCACAGATCCGTAAACAATAACATTTGACCCGACCTGTGATCACGAAGCTGCTCATAATAACAGAGGCAGTAAAGAACATGGCCTCACGCTCACATACCGTGTGCGCTGCACTCACAGGTTAACAGCTATAAGTAAGAAGCCTTGCCTCGCTCCTATATAGATAAGTTGTGCACAATATCCACCTAAATGGAGAGTTATGTTTATATCATATTTCTTATCTTTACAAAATATCCTCTCCAGGTCATTTATAAACACAGAAAGACAATAGTATCATAAAAAAACTTCAAGCTGAATGCTTACTTTCTATTTACAAACTAGTTAATAAACAATAAAGTGGAGTTCAGTTTATTATTAAAATTACTAAAGACGTTTTCTACCAAACCAACCCCAGCACATTGCATTGAATCACTGATATACAATGTTCCCTCTGCTTGGATGAAGTGACAGCAGGTACTGTAGTTGCGTTGTGACTGTAGAAACAAACTGAATTACACAGACCGTAATTAAGTCTGTTAAACATGCTGTTGAGTCCTGCCAGATCTGTCCGGACCAATCGCAGCGCGGGAGGCGGGATTTTACAATGCGTGACTCTCAGCACCAGAATACCCATAATACAGCAGCACCTTTCTGCTAGCGTAAAAACAAGGTGATGAGCGCAACAAAGCAATTTTGCAATGAAAATGAAGAGCACGCTGTATATCCTCAGATTTTTTTAGGCACAAGCTACAGAAATTAGAGAGAGAGAGTTTCTACAGACTAACAAAGTTACTAAAACAAAGTGTATTGCTTTGAGTTTTTGTATCATATCAGTAGTTATCTGATTGGTTCTAACCTGGTAACGCTGACCCTATTAGTCCAGTCTGAAATCAAGCTCTACCAGCTCTTTACCAGACTGATATGCCATGTATATGCCTTATCAGTCTGGCTTGACCCGCTAGAGCATGCATGTAGTTGTCATGATGGGTATCAGGGAGGCCCAATATGCAGAACACTGACGACACGGATGGAAAGTTTAACAGAGTTTATTGGCAAATTCACACATATAATAAAGACTGATGCAATGGTTCTGGGCTGGGACCGGTTCACTGGCGTCTGTGAGAAAGACAGTTTGGTTAGCTAAGGCTTGGTTGAGACTTGACTGATTGTGTTCAGGTTTGTACCTTGATGAACGTAGAGGAGGCTTTGGGAGCGGAACTGTTGGGTCCGGAGAAAGCTTGGTTTGGCAGAGTCCTTAAGCTGTTTCAGCGTCTTACTTCTAAAGGCTGTTTTGACCTTGGCTTGTGTTTCCAGCTCGGTATCCAGAGCTGCTAGGAAATCCAGAGAGTGAGTCTTCAGGTTTGGCTTGGAGGGCTGGCTCGGCAGGTTAAGCTCTTCCAGAGCTTCACAGGAGAAAGAACAGGAAACCTGGAAGCAGAGACAAAAGGGTTAGAATCCAGGTTGGACTCAAAGGAGACTTGGTTCACTAGGGATCTATGGCTTAAGTGCTAACCAACTGATTAAGACACTGCGGCGTCGAGGCAAGGTCTGAAGGCAGCTTAAGTAGTCCAGGTCCTCCAGATGAGATCATCAGCTGCAGGTGTGCAGAGCAGCTCAGCAGGGAGGATCCAGGGCGGACTCTGCTGGAGAAAAGGTGTATTTCTCCAGCTCCCAACAGTAGTGACAGTTGACTGGAAAACTTGAATGAATGGTCGTCTGCCACAAGACCCTAAAAGAACTCAGAATCACTGATCCAGAAATTATTTTATGGTAAAGAAACAATCAAAAGTAAATGGCATCAATATCCACTTTAAAAATTAATCTAGAAGAGAAACTCATCTGGACAGATTATTCCATGCTCTGTAGTCTAGTTCAAAGGCTTCACATACGTAAAGTCAGAACAAAAAAAAGTTCATCCAGTGAATCCATCTAGGAGAGAGACCTGGTTAACCACAGAGAGCTAAGTGAATCATCTGTAAAAGAATGAGACATTGCTGGCAGCAGGGGTTCAGCCAAGATCAAGATATCTAAATTTTTACTCCTCTGCTTCATGGAAAGACTAACGTCAAACCCATGGAGAGCAATTCACCCTTATCACTCTGTTTCTGTGAACCACTCTGGCAAGGGAATTACCAGACATACTTTTTGAAACGTAAATCAAAAGTGTAGAGACTATCAGAGGATTTTTTAAATGTTTGGGGAGAATTTGGGCAGGTATATTTTCTATGTAAAATGTTTTCAGTCTATTATATTTTGTATCTATAGCATAACAGTGATTTGTCTATTTCCTTGATGCTGTCACTGTCTTAATTATTCTAGTAGATGTAGTTAAATATTGGAGATCTATGTAAGGATATTTTCTCCTGAAGGCCCAATAATAAAAATTAGTGTCCCTTTGTGTTTGCAGCTCGTACATAACACTGGCAGACAGGCATAATAGTGTGGACAGCATCAAAACAAACTCTCTGCTCTTTACTCAGAGATGGAACGATGCTAAAATAAGCGACTTCTCTGTAGTGAAAGAAAAGCAGTGAGAGAAAAGAATCTGTGCTGGATTTCCTTAGAGTAAGGCAAAAAAGACAGCATGTACTTGTATTTGCTTGCACATTGTTTTGTGACACATTACAGAGCTTAACACACTAAATAGGTCTCATTAGGCTTATGCCATGCCAGATGTGCCTTCTCAGATGCAAAGTGAGTTGTTGTCAGTGAAGGTCAATGGTGAATAAAACTCCTGTATTTACATTACTGCTTCATTTACAGACCTTGAGGCACAACCATTTAGTAAGAGTGGTAAGTTGATTTCTTCCAGCTGATAAATTTGTTGTCTATTTGTTGAGTATTTGTAACATAAAATTAGCTAGCTGCAAGATTGGCTTAATAGCTTATTTAAAAAATAAAAAAAAACTACTTTATTCTCATAATTAATAAGGACATTCCATATCAGAGGTTGTCAAACTAATGTCAAACCTGTAAGGAGCTGGTGCCTTTTATTAAGATTATAATTTTGCTCTTTACACAGAAGAGTAAACATAGTAGGTAAATAAACATGACTCAACACGGAACGGAGTAAGAGAAAGTAAATTTACGTTAACTGGAGTAAAACTCATATACTCATGAGAAAGTAAATGCCAATGTCTGCCTACAATGAGATGGCCACTTTTTGTGTGTGTGTGTGTGAAAATGCAATGGGATTTTCTTTGTATTTCAGATATTCCGTCCTTTACAACTGAAAATGACTGAAACAATGTAGCTGTGATTACGCTGCCACTGCCTGGCCCCGGGTCATTCTATTGTCACATTTTGTCCCACATCAAAAAGCAAGCTTATTTCTAAACAAAACCCAACATGTTGTACCTCTGTAGATTCAAGCAATCCTAAAGGAAACAACCATCAACTCAACTGTAAGCCAAACATACTCCATAAACTAATAACTAATAATTTGTCATTAAATCTGAACTAATAATTTCCCCTTTTTGTTTTTTTCCTTAACATGTTTTACCCTGGCATACATTTCTGTAACCATCTACAGAAAAGTAATATCCAGTTGAGTTTCCCATAAAAAAGTAAAAAAAATAAGAATAAATGTGCATATTTTATGTGTCTTACAAGACGTGTCTGCTGCTTAAAATGATCTAAGAGAATAAGGGCTTATTCACCAATTTCTTTTCTGTCAAAAGTAATCATAAGTTCTCAGTATCCAGAATACATTCAGAGATGTCATGTGACTCCGGCTCCTCGCATGGGATCTGTGCCATCTTTGTTCTCTAACGCAGCCAAAACAAATCCCATGTTGCTATGCCAGTAGAGATGTTCAAAAGTATTGTGGAGTACAGTATATCTGCTCATCTAGTGACCATTGATGTACACTACTTCTCAAGGTGCATTGTGGAATATTTCGTGTCAGACGCTAGACTTTAGGACACTCATTTAAAATGGACGTTTGGACATAGCCTAAGTGAGCAATCAAACTTTGACATATTTTGTTAACCAATAACATAATGTTTGCAGGAAACCTTTGAAGTTAAATAGCTGATGTTGTGTAAATTGAGTCTCTATGCATATCTTCACAAACTAGAAGCTCTTAACTTCCAAATGACATAAATTACAACCATGTGGAGTTTATAATATTATTTTACGGGCGAATGGCATTTGAATATGCAATATGTTTGTGCGAAAACAACAAGAAGGTGGGAGTTAAGAGGCTAAGGATATAAATGAGGGTTATCTAGGCTTTCATGCTTGTGATGACTGTTCTTTCATCATTATTTTATTTTCATGTTCAAAATAAATGAATAAACAGAATTAAATAAATGACAAGATGACTCTAAATGTAAAGGTATAAAGCTAACCTTTTTACTGTGCTGGGGATCTTTGATGAAGCCCTACACTAACAAAGTTTTCCCTCTGTTTTTATATACCGGTAGCTTGTTTGAAGAAAGGAGTTCTCCTGCTTCTAAAACTAAACGACCAATGTTACAGCGGTGTGCTCCACTAAACTTAAGTTTCCACTGTTGAACATCAGCTGATCATTCCCCTAAAATTTGTGCTGGATTCCCTTGCTGTTCTGTCAGTATTGGAAATGCAACATCAGTTTAGAGGATCAATTTCTTTAAAGTTAAAAAAAAGCAAAATATTATTGTCTCAGAAAGCAACCATAATATCAAATGAAAATAGATTTTTCAGGTTTACTTAACTAAGCAAAGTCAACAAACATTTCTTAAGCCTCCGCTTATGCAAAGCTTCCTATTGAATCCTTCAGATTTGGCGTGCAGACTCTGGCCTTGCCCTCTCTTTTTCGTTCATTCTATCTTTGTCAGTTTGTCTCAATGTCGGCTCTGGGAGCGTTGCTTCAGAATCACAGTAATCAACACAATCACTGTTCTCTGTCTGACTCCTTATTTCTAATCATCCATTAAGATTCTTTAAAACCAAATCTGTACTGCAGTTGTGTTTTACGTCAGTGAATTAAGAACACAATTAGCTTTGAACGCATATATAATTAGGGTATTTTTTATATATATTTTTTTCTTTTTCAAATGATCTCATGACATAAACTTGAGAGATACAATACACACTCTAGGATCTCATCAGAAGATGTGCCAGCATTGTGTTGGCACGCTGTAATTTTCTTCTCAAATGCTTCGACTTTGTTGCATGTGGGCCCCTGAATACGGCACACTCTCATCCATGCACATTTGACAAGAAAATAAACTTGAGGTGTCCCCATTCGTGATTCAGATTTTCCTTTTTTCAAACTCTTTTTATAGACCCATTTTCCTTTTATCATCCTCCTCGTTCACTTATGTTGGCCATCCAGGCTTCACATTTCATTCATATTTTTGACAATTCTTTCATCTTTTCCTTTTAAATTTCAGGGCTGTGGTTCACATTCAGGTAGATGATGTCAATGAATTCAGCCCTGTGTTTAGAGAGTCACTCTACAAGGCATCAGTGACTGAAGGCAAAATCTACGACAGCATCTTACAGGTAGTTAATTCAATATTATATTAGTTACTCAAAGTTTTTTATTATTACTCTAAGTGATATGTATAAGTATTTGGGAAAAAGGCTTTTGGAACAACACACAACAGTTTTGTAAATATCAATATTTTTATTTCTCTAAGTCTAGACCTTGCTAAACATTGTCTTAACAAAATTTCAGGTGGAAGCCTGGGATCAGGACTGTTCACCACAGTACAGTCAAATCTGCAACTATGAAATTGTCACTGGGGGAACACCATTTGCCATAGATCGAAATGGTAAGTTTACCATTGGTAAGTGTTATGGAGTAAAGAAACATTTTTCATCCTTCCTAGATATTAAGGAAAAACTTGGAGCCTGATCTAAACCGGACTTGCATCCCATCATCCTGTATGACATCATAGACTGACCCCCTGGAATTTCGGGTTTGGTTCTGGCAACAAATCTAAACTCTTATGAGAAGCATTTCTCAACAGAAAGCCGCAGCTTTTGTAGAAATGGAAGTGCCGCTGACTTTGTCTCTCCATCCAGTGTTTGTCTGCATACAGCTTGCTGCTCAACTGTAAGAGGTGCAGTGAGCTCAGAGTTTTATGAACAAAACTATATAGCAATCGGTTCTCTCTGTCGCCAAAGTTTCCCAGAACACAGAGAAAAAATGGTGGGTTTGTCTATCGTGACTAGAGATACACTATATTGCCAAAAGTATTTGCTCACCTGCCTTGACTCACATATGAGCTTAAGTGACATCCCGTTCCTAATCCATAGGGTTCAATATGACGTCGGTCCACCCTTTGCAGCTAGAACAGCTTCAACTCTTCTGGGAAGGCTGTCCACAAGGTTTAGGAGTGTGTTTATGGGAATTTTTGACCATTCTTCCAGAAGCGCATTTGTGAGGTCGCACACTGATGTTGGACGAGAAGGCCTGGCTCTCAGTCTCCGCTCTAATTCATCCCAAAGGTGTTCTATCGGGTTGAGGTCAGGACTCTGTGCAGGCCAGTCAAGTTCATCCACACCAGACTCTGTCATCCATGTCTTTATGGACCTTGCTTTGTGCACTGGTGCACAGTCATGTTGGAAGAGGAAGGGGCCAGCTCCAAACTGTTCCCACAAAGTTGGGAGCATGGAATTGTCCAAAATGTCTTGGTATGCTGAAGCATTCAGAGTTCCTTTCACTGGAACTAAGGGGCCAAGCCCAGCTCCTGAAAAACAACCTCACACCATAATCCCCCCTCCACCAAACTTTACACTTGGCACAATGCAGTCAGACAAGTACCGTTCTCCTGGCAACCGCCAAACCCAGACCCGTCCATCAGATTGCCAGATGGAGAAGTGCGATTCGTCACTCCAGAGAACGCGTCTCCACTGCTCTAGAGTCCAGTGGCGGCGTGCTTTACACCACCGCATCCGACGCTTTGCATTGCACTTGGTGATGTATGGCTTGGATGCAGCTGCTCGACCATGGAAACCCATTCCATGAAGCTCTCTGCGCACTGTTCTTGAGCTAATCTGAAGGCCACATGAAGTTTGGAGGTCTGTAGTGATTGACTCTGCAGAAAGTTGGCGACCTCTTCGCACTATGCGCGTCAGCATCCGCTGACCCCGCTCCGTCAGTTTACGTGGCCTACCACTTCGTGGCTGAGTTGCTGTCGTTCCCAAACACTTCCATTTTCTTATAATACAGCTGACAGTTGACTGTGGAATATTTAGGAGCGAGGAAATTTCACGACTGGATTTGTTGCACAGGTGGCATCCTATCACAGTTCCACGCTGGAATTCACTGAGCTCCTGAGAGCGACCCATTCTTTCACAAATGTTTGTAAAAACAGTCTGCATGCCTAGGTGCTTGAATTTATACACCTGTGGCCATGGAAGTGATTGGAACACCTGATTCCAATAATTTGGATGGGTGAGCAAATACTTTTGGCAATATAGTGTATCTATAAAGATACTAAATATTGCAGAAGTCTCTGAGCTGGTAACAGTGTGACGTGCATTACGGTGTTTGACTAATAACAGACACGCCAAGAGGTCTTACCACAAAAAGAATAAAAGATTAAGGTAAAAAAAAATGCCAATATTGACAAATAAGGCATCCTTAGAAATCGTATTTCTAATAAAATAAGTTTAGATTTTTAGTTTAACAGCTTGACTTGAGAAAAATGGTAGTTATCTTATTTGTACAGTAAATGTTATTCCTGAATTCTCCCACACCTTGTGTTACACAAGGTTTATATATACACAACTTGTGTATATATAAACCTTGTGTTACACAAGGTTTATATATACACAAGTTGTGTATATATAAAAAGCACTGCTAAGTATCGATGTTGTAAAGCCAACTTTAAGACTAGTCCTTTGACACTCTGTGAAGGCCGACATTTAAAAAAAACATTTGTTGAGTTTTGAACAGCATTTCTCAAGGTGTGGTAGTTTTGAATTTGATAGCTTTTATCTATTCATAGTACATGTACTGTAATTTCCCCCCAAAATTACATACACTTGTTTTCTATCTTTTAACTTATTTCCTCCCCCCTGTTTTATCTGCTTGAATTACGATGTTCTCTTTTGTACTTTTTAAAGCATATCTGTCGGTATGAAATTTTACTTTGGGATTCAGACTGCCCTTAGCCAAGGCTGATCTGAATGCAGCGTAATTCAAGACAAAGGCAGACTGTATTTGTATTTATTTCTCTCTCTGAATGTGTTCAGTCAGACAAAAACACACTTTCTCCACAGATGCTCTCCTCTCTCGGGGTGGTTCATGCTTTTATTAATATCTTTTGTCTTATTGCTTTGTGATTTCGATCTTCATGTATTTTTCTTCGCGTTTGACACCAGTCTGACTTACTCTTCTTACAGGCCGAAAGATACAGATAGGAGGGCAGAGTAAGCCACTAGTTATTGGTTAGATTTGTTCTTGAGAATAGTGGCTACTTTGCTTTGTGTAAAGGATCCCAAAAGTAATTAAGTTGTTCTAAAATAGTACCTAATGCTAGATGTAGATTTAATTTTATTGGAGAGACAATGGCTTAAATAAACCACTTAGATGAGTATGACCAGGTGGAAAAATTGCAAATCTTCTTTTGGAAAGTAGCCTTATATGAGCTTTGCAAACAGCAGCTTTTAGACAGAGTGTGCAGGAGAAATGGGCTCTGGTATGCTCTCGCACGTGTTTAATATGCGTTCCCTCTCAGGAGCAGATACATGGTTTTTCATGTGCATTTTTTTTAAAGTGTAGAGGGCGGATCTTTTCAAAAAAATTTAAAAATCCTTTAAAATGTCCACTATACCTTTAAAACTAGTTTATAAATTGAAAACATAAACTGCACTTAGTGACATAATTTGTATTTTTGATGTAAGATTCTTTTAGAATGATATGAAAATTTTGTTTTTAATCTGCTTGCAGATTGAATGGTCCCAAAATAACGGTTATCCAAAATAAAGACCAAAGCAAAATAAAGACCAAAGCATACTTCTGCCTTGTCAAGTGAAAACCATTAAATTAACCTTTATACTGCAGCAAAGCCTTTAGTGAGCATTATAGAGAAGGGGATGATTATTTTCTCAGGAAATTTAGATTGGAGGCGGTGTGTTACCACTGACCTTCTATAATGAAAAACCTACTAAGAATCAGTAATGGCTTTAGCTTAGAGGACAGCATATCCAAATATGTCTGCCACATCATTGCACTGTTTCATATCTATCCGTCTAAGTCAGTGTATTAAAAATCACAATGTACCTGAGTTCAAAAATGAAGCAATGAATCAAGTCTATAAAGGGTGTGTAGTTTGTGGTGCTTTTGTATTTAATGTGTATCATGACAAAGAGTAAAAGATGTAATTTCATTCAAATTGTACCACGCATCTGAATATATTTGCAGCAGGCTTGCTTAACTACTTCATGTAAGTTAGATTGTTAGATACTAGATACATAGAACATACTGGGACGTCTCATTGACAAAGTAATAGAAGATGTATTATTTATCATGTTTTGGTAGCTAAGTTTTCCGCATTTTGAGTTTTCTTTTTTTACCAGTCTGTTAATCTAGGCTCTGTAGTTAGAAATGACAGTTGCTGAGTTTTCCAGTCTCCTCTTGTTTGAATTCTTTTTTCTGTGGTTGATTTAGTTGGTATACTGCTTTTAATTTATTGTTGGTGTTTAGTCCCTTCTTTACTTCTCTTTAATGTTTTTGTGTCTCTTCTCTGAATATCCTCGGCTGCTTTCACGTCGCTCATTAGACTCAAGAATTTCCTGTTCTTATGTAATCTCCTGTTTAGATTTTAGTAATTCTGCCTCAATCATCTTCCCTCCAGATTCTTGGTTTGTCTTTAGTTCTATTTTAATGAATTACCCTTATTTCATATTTCTGGACTTTTGTATTATAAGACATACTTATGTTTTTTCTCCAACTCTGCTTCCCCTTGCCTATAGTCACGTCTTCGGCAACCAACAGTCTTCTATCACGCCACATACATCTATATGCTTCTTAATCACAAACCAAAACACCATTACATTTGTTGCTTAAATTAAGCCACTAAGTAAAGGCAATCAATTAATTCAATAAAGAAACCTATTAAAGAATATGAATAAAATCATGAGGGAAGAAAAGTATTCTTATACGTTTTCAGCGTTCATTAACAAGAATTAATTGCTGAAATTTGAAAAATTCAAACCTCTCAGTCATGATAGCAGCTGCTGTACGGCTTTACTAGATCAATGATCACATAAAGATGAATATATCATTTTAAAGAAAGCAAATTTTTCTCAGATTGCTTTTTAAATTCACTTATAAGTTTTCTTTTTTAAAGGCAGTGACATCAAACCATTTTTATCTCGTTGCTTTTATACTCTGCACCAGTGACTTGAGACAATCTATTCATCCTATTTTGTATAAAAATTTTACAGGGAGGTTTTAACAAAAATAAAGGTAATACAAGTTCAGTCAATTGTGACATCAGGCTTAACATTATTTCCCTTGCAGCTACAGTTTGCTTCTGCCTTTCTTTAACTCGGAATATAATTGTAGTTTCCTCAGTTTAAAAATAATCCCCCTTCTTTTTTTTGTTACCCCGTAGGTAACATCAGAAACACAGAGCGACTCAGTTATGAAAAGCAGCAGAGCTACAGGATTATGGTATCTGCCTTTGACTGCGGTCAGAAGAAAGCCAAAGAGGATGTGGTGGTACATATTGAAGTCAAGCCTGTCTGCAAACCAGGATGGCAAGGTCAGAAACAAGCAGTGTAATTCACTCCTGATGTCTAACCTTGAAATACTTGGTTTAAAATCGCTGATGAGTATCTTGGTGTGATGTGTTTATCTATTGCCTTCAGGTACCTAAATGCATGCAAAACTCAAGATTGCCATTCAGAGCAGTCTTACAGGCATACCCTCCATTGTGAAGGAACTTTTTTCTCATTTTAGACAGAATGTCTCTGAAGGAAATCAAAGGACCTGACAGAAACCTCAGGAAGGAAAGCTGACTAGACTGGTCATTTTTCTTTTCTTCTTCCTTAACATGCCAACAGCTTGGTATTCAGCCCAGCCCATCTCCCCTGCTGCTTCACCTGTCTGCTCTGACAGCATCTCAGGAATCAAGCTCATGCAGGAATGAGAAAGACAGAACGATTGGAGTAGAGGCAGAACAGGATGAAGGAAGAGGTAGAATGAACAGATAGGAGAGAGACAAAAATGAAACAAACTTCCGATGTTCTTACAATCTTACTACAAAAAATTTTAAGTGGAACTGTTTTACATATTTAATCATCTAGGAACAAGCTGTGTCTTTGTGATAAAATAAAATTAGATAGCAGTTCTTTGAACATATGCATCCAGGGAACATCCTTGGGATTGATGTTAAGATAGTGGACTCTTAAAATGCATACTGTACTCATGAAGAACAAATAAAAAATGTTCTTCCTCCCACAGCTGCAAGAACAAAATAATGCAATTTTATTCTCACAGAAGTGTCTTGTGGGTCCTGGCTGCAGGTTTCTCACTGCTTGTTCTCAACATATCATCTAGGGAGAATTTCTTTTCTAAAGAGTTTCCAAGAAACATTGCATAAATAATCAGCATTTTCATGAATATTGTTAAAATGGCAAAGCAGGGATAATTTTCCCCTTTTAAATTTTAGGCTTAAACCACCCACTGTCCCCAGAGAAACCGAGAAAAAGTTCTTTGTTCTTGCAGAATGTAACAATCTCTAGCAATGAACTGGACTGTAACAATCTTTAGCGATGAACTGGACTGCTGTAACAACACTAATGCTCTTTACTAGAAGGCTTAGAGTTTACCTCCTGAGGGTAGGGATGTCCCAATACAACTTCTTAATTTACAAAACGATAGAATATTGCAGCTTTAGGTTTTGATACCCATATTAGCCTAATACAATATCAGCATTAATTATACATACTTGTATTAAATGGGCTGTACTCATAAAGTGCTTTTTCAAGTCAATGCTTAGTAAGTGTTGTGTGCATCATTGCCTTAATTTGCACAGCTTTATCTGATTTCTGCACAGTATTTACCTGCTCCGTAAGTGATTTTACATCCATCCTGTTATTCACATAGTTATTTTAATTTTATATATTTGTAAATTGGTTGGTGTCCCTTTCTATTCTATTCTCTTCTATACTAGTTTTTAAATTTAAGTGAAAGGTTACAAATGATTTTTTTTAAAATGCTATAAAAATGGATCCTAAATATTTTTGTTCTGTAACAACTTTAGTGTAGTAGAAGAGACAGATGTGACACGGCAGATAAAATCTCATAAAATATGAGCACATACAGGTGCTGGTCATAAAATTAGAATATCATGAAAAAGTAGATTGATTTCAGTAATTCCATTTAAAAAGTGAAACTTGTATATTATATTCATACATTACATACAAACTCATATATTTCAGATGTTTATTTTGTTTAATTTTGATGATTACAAATGACAACAAATGAAAATCTCAAATTCATCATATCAGAAAATTAGAATATTACTGAAGACCAATAAAAACAAAGGATTTATAGAAATGTTGGCCAACTGAAAAGTATGAACATGAAAAGTATGAGCATGTACAGCACTCAGTATTTAGTTGGGCCTCCTTTGGCCTGTATTACTGCAGCAATGCGGCGTGGCATGGAGTCGATCAGTCTGTGGCACTGCTCAGGTGTTATGATAGCCCAGGTTGCTCTAATAGTGGCTTTTAGCTCTTCTGAATTGTTGGGTCTGGTGTATTGCATCTTCTTCTTCACAATACCCCATAGATTTTCTATGGGGTTAAGGTCAGGAGAGTTTGCTGGCCAATTAAGAACAGGGATACCATGGTCCTTCAACCAGGTACTGGTAGCTTTGGCACTGTGTGCAGGTGCCAAGTCCTGTTGGAAAATGAAATCTGCATCTCCAAAAAGTTGGTCAGCTGCAGGAAGCATGAAGTGCTCTAAAACTTCCTGGTATGTGGCTGCGTTGACCCTGGACCTCAGAAAACACAATGGACCAACACCAGCAGATGACATGGCACCCCAAACCATCACTGACTGTGGAAACTTTACACTGGACTTCAAGCAACGTGGATGAAGTGCCTCTCTTCTTTTCCTCCAGACTCTGGGACCTTGATTTCCAAAGGAAATGCAAAATTTACTTTCATCAGAGAACATGACTTTGGTCCTGTTTCTCTTTAGCCCAGGCAAGACGCTTCTGACGCTGTCTGTGGTTCAAGAGTGGCTTGACACAAGGAATGCGACAGCAGAAACCCATGTCTTTCATACGTCTGTGTGTGGTGGTTCTTGAAGCACTCACTCCAGCTGCAGTCCACTCTTTGTGAATCTCCCCCACATTTTTGAATGGGTTTTGTTTCACAATCCTCTCCAGGGTGCGGTTATCTCTCTTGCTTGTACACTTTTTTCGACCACATCTTTTCCTTCCCTTCGCCTCTCTATTAATGTGCTTGGACACTGAGCTCTGTGAACAGCCAGCCTCTTTAGCGATGACCTTTTGTGTCTTGCCCTCCTTGTGCAAGGTGTCGATGGTCGTCTTTTGGACAACTGTCAAGTCAGCAGTCTTCCCCATGATTGTGTAGCCTATAGAACTAGACTGAAAGACCATTTAAAGGCTTTTGCAGGTGGTTTGAGTTAATTAGCTGATTAGAGTGTGGCACCAGGGGCCATCAATTTTGAACCTTTTCACAATATTCTAATTTTCTGATATGATGAATTTGAGATTTTCATTTGTTGTCATTTGTAATCATCAAAATTAAACAAAATAAACATCTGAAATATATGAGTTTGTATGTAATGTATGAATATAATATACAAGTTTCACTTTTTAAATGGAATTACTGAAATCAATCTACTTTTTCATGATATTCTAATTTTATGACCAGCACCTGTATATTCATAATGTGAAGGGCAGTTCCTGCATAAAATGTAGGTCAATATAACCAGTCTGAGTACAGGTATAAAAAAGATGTTTCCTTCAGTTAGCAGGTCAGACTACTGTCACGGAAGAAGTAATGAAACTAGCATAAACTGTAGTTATTTCTTTTCATTTTTTCTAAGATCTGAGAAAATTTATCTAAAAATGTCATCTGGTACAAAAAAGGCCTCTTTATTGTGCTCGCATCCTTTCCAATGTTGTGTTATTTTTTCAATTTCTGTCTCATAAAAGTGGCTATAAACCAGGACCATTAACCCATGCAAAGCTTAATGTAAAACCATTACCCTCTCGTAGCTTAAATCCATGAATAAAACATAATGCAGGGATGCATTTAACGCAAGCTCGCTCTCCTCTGTAACCTATTTCATCATGCGCAAAGGTCAGCAAAGCTTCCGCAGCTGCTGTTTAGGAAATCTCTCTCAATAATGAGGAATCCCCATCATCTCTCCCTACCATTGTAATCACAATCTGTTTCTCTCAGTAATTTCCTCAGGAGACTTGATATCACTGATATGACATGCACAGAGCAGAATCAGCATGTTCAATCTCTCCCATTGCCCCAAAAGAAGCATTTTAGTACACACTGAATAAAAGTCTTAACAACTTGGTAGTTTAAAAAAAAACTGCATTACATTACACTGGCTGTCCAGCTGGCAGTAAAAAGCAAGGGAGCTATCTTTAACAGCCCTTTTGGCACAGCAATCTCATTAGTACTTGTGTCACTGCATCGTTCACTTTCAGCAAATAACAGATACAAATTTCCCCCAAAAAATCCATCTTATAAGAAGACTGAGATCTTGATGTCTAAGGTGAAGGCTAAGTGCTTCAAACAAGCATGCACATACTCTTCAAGTGTCTTTTTTTTTTTTTAGGCTGGAACAAGCGAGTGGATTATGAGCCAGGGACTGGAAGCAAACAACTTTTTCCCAAGATGCACCTGGAAACATGTGGAGGGCCCTTGTCCGGAGTAAAGGCCATGGTGGAGCTGCAGACAAATCACATTGGAAAGGGCTGCGACCGTGAAACTTACTCTGAAAAGTCTTTGCAGAAACTGTGTGGTAAGTAAAGCTACAAAGGAAAAAGAGAAGCAGTTGGATTATTATAAAGCAAGGAGGGAGGATTTTACTGAAATAGTGAGGTGCTTTTCAACAGTAAGGGACTATGAATGCATTAAATTTTAATTCAGATATAAAATTGCCTCCTGACATCTTAACCTTCTCAGTAGACTGATTTCTATAATAATAATTCAATCCTGCACACTGTTTAAATGACCTTTATTGAATTTGATTAAACTTTAATTTGGAACTTCCTTTTTTTAAACCATCCATTCATACCTACTGTAGAAACATTCATTCTTACTTAATACTTTGCAAAAGTATTCAACTTCTTGAACCTGTTGCCACAAAACAACCAATAACTTCACTCTATTTCCTGTGAGTTTTATTTGATAGAGCAATACAGACTGTTTCATTATGATAAAAAAGTGAATATTTATTATTCTGTCAATTATTTCATTTTTAAAATGTATTTAGATATTAGAATTGTTGAATTAAGGTATTTGACCATTTGTATCTTTTATGTAGTTTCCTCCAGACTGACTACCTGTAAATACATTGTCCTTGTTATATCTTCTGACTGGCACATCAAGGTGCAGCATCAGGCAGCACCGACCTCCTTCCTGCCCCCAGCCCCTCGGCAAATTGGACCGCATCTCTTCTCACTGACAGTGGACGTGAAAGCGACCTCATCTACAGGTTTGACGGGAACCAGGCTGCAAATGTTCCAGATCACGTGGTGCCCCAGAACTTGACAGACCAGTTCACCATAGCAACATGGATGACACATGGACCAAGTCCAGGACTTAGAGCTGCAAAGGAAACCATACTGTGCAACTCTGACAAGACAGGTGGGGAAATAACCATCACATCAACTTAATGATAAGATGTAGGAGCCTGATATGACATTGATATTTGTATTGACCCTTTTCTCCCTTTAAGTAAGACTTTTTTTCTCCCTTAATAACAAGTTAGATTTCCTTAATGTTTCTATAATTAAACACCAAAAAGTACAAAATCAAAATATTATTTGAAATTTTGATAATAATAATTTAATAATGATAATAAATGAAACTCAAAATATCACAGACAGATTTCCAGTTTCTTAACCAACATGCAGAACAACAGGAGAACAGGGGATCAGATAAATCAAGTTTATTTTAACAGTTGAAATAATTCAGTAAATAGTTTGGGTCCTTGGAGGGAGGGCACACAGAGTTGTCTGCAAACTGCTGAGAAGAAAAAGGGAGAAGATGAGTTTGAGATTGTCGGCAATATGATCTTTGAGAGAAGTTTAAAAAAACAGATCTTACTTGGATTGAAGCTTTCCTTCACCCAGAATGGAGGGGAATGTGGTTTGTGGTCTTGGTTCCTTTTTGAGTGTCCAGGTTCCAGAGGTTTCGGCTGAGTGAGTTCAGATTGATGATGTGGAGTCTGGGTGGGGGGCGAACAGGTTTACTCAGACTTGGAGGAAGAAAGAGGAGTTATCTGACTGCCAGCTGGAGAAACCAGGAACTGCTTATAATCAAGCTGAGGAGTTAATGCAGGGACTTGGGCAACCAGTTGGTAACAGTACACGGTGTCACAAGGAGAGAGAATCAAGAAAACCATAACTAGGTCTTCACAAGGAGGATCCATGGCGTCACAAGGAAACACCTGAGAGAATGTGGACAACGAGATACTAGAAGTCTCTCTAAAGGAAAGTAACACAGAGAGTATCTTTATGGGGGCTCAGAGTACCATAACTGGCAAATACTCAAATAACAAGGTGCTGGCAGTCTGCTTCCTCTTAAGCTCCAGGATGATTAGGTAATGAGTAACAGGTGTGCAGACAGAATTGAAAGAATAAAAGAGCCGGGTATCCATGAACGCTCCTCCGGACCGTAGCCCTCCTAGTCGACGAGGTACTGTCACTCACGACCTCGCCGACGGGAGTCAACAATCCGGCAGACGGTGTAAGCAGATGTCCATCCACATCTTGGGTGGAAGGAAGGGGCTCAGAAGGAGGGCCCAATGTGCTGGTACGACTGGGTTTGATCTGGGAAACATGAAACGTGGGATGAATGCAGAGAAAGATGGAATACCGAGGCAAACAGATGACATGAGGGACTGATGACTATTAGATATTTCAGATATGAAGAAGCACAAAAGTTCAAGAAAACTTGTAAAATGTTAAATGGCATTTTCAATTTAGGGAAGTTTAAAGCCCTTTACACTACATTAATTTATTTATTCACACACACACGCACTGATGGTGGTAAGCTACATTCTAGCCACAGCTACCCTGGGGCTCAATGACAGAAAAGAGGCTCCCGTGCATAGATGTCACTGTGTAACTATGACAACCATCAGTATGGGAAACCATCACTTGTGCTTGAGGTATGCATTTTAAGCTTAAAGTGCATATTTAAATGTATACCCTATGCTAGTCATCAGAAATTTCGAACATATTATTTCTCTGATGTATAAAGGCAAACTTTGGTTCATCACCAAGGGGTTTAACATAAAGAAAATCAATACTTTAAGTAATTGCAAGAATGCATTTAGAGGAATTAAAAAAAAAATGCATGCATTATATTATTTTGGAAACAATGATCATTTTGAAGGAGTTTATATGCATGCACTTGTTTGACGATGCAATATTTGAAATACTTGTTGCAGAGATGAACCGCCACCACTACTCTCTGTATGTTCACAACTGCCGGTTGGTGTTCCTGCTGAGAAGAGATTTCACACAGATCGACACTTACCGGCCCGCTGAGTTCCACTGGAAACTGGAGCAGGTGAGGAGGCTGTATGAGAAGTGCGAGTGCATGCTTTTAAACGCGCAGGCTTGTCTGTGCCCCGTCTTAAACAGAGGGAGATTATTTTCTGCAAGTGAAGGGCCATCGCTATTTGTGTAGTTAGGAGAAATGCTCTCCCCTATAATTACCTGAGGCCTTCCGTAACTTTCTTCCACTCGCAGTGGGAGATAAGAGAGTAGCAGACGCCCTTATGCTAAAAGTTTAACTCAGTAAAACACACACATTTCCCACATCAAGGATGGAAGGTCTATTTAGCTCTGGTTAATGGCTCTTTCAGCAGAAGATCTATTTTATCTGTCGAATTCTCCTTAAATATCTCTGCAGCCTTATCTGTTTTTTTTAACTGTGTTTGTCTTTATAATCCTGTTTGTAAATGATTTCTAACGAATCCTTGAACCCTTGAACAGCTGACATCACAAAGGTTCACTCTGTTTAAAATTGGATTCTAAAAGTAGTTAATTGCTCTGGATTTGATCATAGTTTTGCCTCATATATTTAAAACATGTATAAACATGAAGCATGAGAAAGTGTCGTACCTGCAACTTTATAAAATTAAATAGCACTTTTGTAAGGTTTTTTTTTTTTCATTTCAAGCTGAAATCCATTTTCTCGTGTGAAGTTAACTAATAGTGTATATATTCTTTGGACCGTAAGAAAGGTTTATTGCAGGTCATTGGTTCAAAAAATCCCTGTTCCTCCTTTGTACCATTCAAACAGATATTTGTTTGGTCTAGGTCAAAGGTAGATTAAAAAATGGTTTTCCCATCTGCTGTTCTTTTCCCTGGAGCCTGTGGAGGTAAACATGACAAAGAAATAGCATCCAAGCAGCAGAATGCAGTCTTCTAAGCAAACAACCTCCCGACTCTTCTTCTATTCTATTACTCTGTTGTCATTCATTCTGTGAAAGTTTTTTTTTCTCTCACTTTACTTTTAAGAGATAAGATACCAAACAGTAATGCTAGTATAGTGTGTAGACAGACTCTTTGTTTTCCTTATGATCTAGTTGAAGATTTTACCAGAAACAGTCATTAAATCCAAAAACAATACACAAACAACTGCTTTTACCTGTGCTTGCATGAACGATGTGTGAAATTGGATACATACCTAATAATTAATGCTGATTAAACAAACAGTCTTGTTTGTTATGCTCTTAATCTTTACCTAAAGTAATTCAGCGTTGAATTAAAGGTATTTTGAGCAACTATAATTATTGATCTATATTATCATTTATATTATGAAGTTAATATAAAACTTGAAGGCAGACAAAGTGGTACTGCATATGGCTAATTTACTTATTTGCTTTGGACCAATATTATACATTTATTTTGTAATATTTCCTCTGGATGATAAACATGGCATAAAGAGGTTGATAGACTGAAGGATGATGCATCCCTTTGGTCCTCTTTTGTAAAGGCAAGGATTTTAAAGAGTTTAATTACCGGTAGCCATCTGGACCTTCTTCTAGGCCTGAATCATCTTCTTTTATTTATTTATTTTTTACAGTTATTTACCTTTCTTATTGTTTAGAAATGTTTCAAATACCTTCGGAAAGCCCAGAGAACTGAACCTGATCACTTAAAAGAAAATACCTAAAGATGAAAACAAAAAACAAAAGTCTAGTTTATTACTTTTGATATTATATATTTTTTGAATCTATCTAAACTATATAAAGCTGTTTTTTCTTCATCAAACCTTCAAACGCTAAGTAGCCTGTTTCTGTGGGGCATTAAACTTTAATTTGATAATTGAGGTTAACATCTAGAGCCATTACACCAAATGATATATGTCAGGTACTGATTTTTTGTAATTTAGATTATTAAGGTCTAGAGCTAATTAATTGCAATGTTACAAACATCCATTAGATAGATTTTTGAAATAATAAAAAATGCTATCCAGATAATCATGGAAAAGACTACTGAATGAATACCTGTCCAGAAGACATCTTCTTCGCATTGAAAACCTTCAAAAACCCTTTTCTAGTTAAAGTGGATGGATGATAAATCACTGAACCAGAAAGAATTTCAGAACTTTCTCATCTATGTTAAAGTAAAAAAGCACAGGACTTTTGCTCTGCAATCGGTTTCTTAAATGAGAGTACATTTTGCATTTTATTTTAAGATCCCCCACTCCATCGAGGTTCAATGTGATTCCAGGGGCCATGTAGATCCACAGTGTTTTATCAACTCCTCAGTTAACCCAGTGGTCTACCAGGAATTTTTACAGCACATCATGCTTCCATCTTATAACAAGGTTTAGAGATGCAGCCAGGTTTACATTTTCAGCAGGACTGATTACTTGCCCACACTACCAAAAGTGCTGGCCCCTAGTTTAGTGGCCATGGTATCCCCATGCTTTATCCATCCATCCATCCATCCATCCATCCATCCATCCATCCATCCATCCATCCATCCATCCATCCATCCATCCATCCATCCACTTATCCGGGGTCGGGTCGAGTGGGTAGCACCTTCAGTAGGGAGGCCCAGACGTCCCTCTCGCCAGCCACTTGGGCCAGCTCCCAAAGTGCTCCCATGCCAATCGAGAAACATAGTCCCTCCAGTGTGTCCTGGGTCTCCCTCTGGGCCTACTCCCAGTGGGACGTGCCTGGAACACCTCACCACAGAGACATCCAGGAAGCATCCTAACAAGACGCCCGAGCCACCTCAACTGGCTCCTCTCGACGTGGAGGAGCAGCAGTTCTACTCTGAGTCCTCCCTGGATGACTGAGTCCCTCACCCTATCTCTAAGGGAGAGTCCAGACACACTACGGAGAAAACCATTTCAGCTGCTTGTATCCGGGATCTCGTTCTTTTAGTCATGACCCAAAGCTCATGACCATAGATTAGAGTAGGAACATAGATCAACCTGTAAATTGAGAACTTTGCTTTTTGGCCCAGCTCTCTCTTTACCACAACAGAGAGGTACAGTGCACCAATCAGCCTGTTGATCACCCGCTCCATTTTCCCCTCATAAGACCCCAAGATACTTACACTCCTCCACTAGGGGCAGTACATTCTCCCCAACCCGGAGAAGGCACTCTACCCTTTTTTCGGCTCAAGCATCCCCATGCCTTAGTGGCCAAAAAACTCACCGAACCTAAAATCCACAGAGAATCTTAGGGGTTCTGTCTAGAAGAAGATAAGAGACACCAGAGCCAACAAAGAAAACAAGCTGGAGGAATATATTAATAAGATTGGTAAACCTTCTTTCAATGGAAATCTGGTTGATGCATTGATTCACAACTTTCCAGCAATCACACCCTAATATCTGTTAAACTGATCCATCATTTTAGCGAAATGTACCTTATTTCCTCTATTTGCTGGGACTGCATCTAAACACACATACTTTACACTTGAGTGTTGTCCTTTTCCTACAAAGACTAAGTAGAACTCTAGTGTATCAATCCTTATTACAAATTCCCCATAGACATATAATACCTATTCAGTCCCAAATTGCTTTTTGCAGTGCCATGTATACTTGTAGACTGAATTGGCCTATATAAAAGTATAATGAAGGCAAGTTTCACATGTTCTCATTTATGATGAGCTCTAAACGTACATGCCTTTCTCATATTCCCCGTTTTATTACATAATAATTCTGCTCTGACTCACACAGTAATTTACTGCTACTACTTTTCATTATCCTTGAGTTTCTGAGAACCAAGTGGTGACCTATGAATTACGGCTACTGTATTTCTTTGTGTGGAATAATGAGGACAGGAGCAGTGGAGATTGTTGAATGAGGAGAGTGGTAAACAGGAGGAGAGAAGAGTGAGGGGTTTTATAGCCGATGCACTTAGTAAGGACACTCAATGGCTTCCGTGGCAACTCCATTTAGCTCTATTGATTTTGCAATTCTCATGCCTAGAGAGGTGGGGTAGAGTGGGATGAAAGGAGGCTGGCAAAGAGAGCAACGAGAGAGAGGGAGAGCTTCCATTTACCACATCGATCGGCAGTCTGTAGGAATGTCACATTGAATGGAACCTTCACACATTCATCTAAAGCCTCTGACTTATTAAAATTGTATGTGGATGCATGCACACAGATGATGCTTGTCTTTTATATATAATGTATCTTTATGAACTAGATGGAGCAATCACACCCGTTTGTACTCATATTTATCTTTCTTTAAATCTGGTATTCCTAGAGTATCAACACCGTTCAGTTGTTCTTAGGAGATTTCTTTAATTGGAAATTCTTTTTCAAGTTATGTTGGCTGGAATGTAGATCAAAGACAGCTGAGAAAACAGGGTGGAGAGGAATGTAGCTTAACTTAGATTTTAAATCCATTTTATTTACACCAAGATTAGAAGTGTTGTAATTTATTCATTTAACTCTATGAAAATACTTTTCTTACATAGAATTAGACTTAGACAACCTGTATTGTAATTTTGTACACACATAGTGTACAGTATGCAAAACGAAATCTCATTTTGTATAGCTTTCAGAACATTTCCATTATAAAGTGCTGCATTGATCAAATATAAACAGTGTGGGAGAAAAAACATGGTGCAAAACGCAATGATATGGAAGGTCAGAGCAAATATATATATAGTGCAAATATGCAGTATTTTGGGCTAGTATTATCAGTGTTATGCGGACTCTGTGACATGGTTTAGAGTTTTCTCAACAGTTCACTTGTCTGATGGCAGTGGGGAGGAAGCTGTTGCGGAATCTACATACTTCAATATATTAATAGTCTTAATTCAGTGCAAGTTATAATTTTTTATACCCTATTAAAAACATGTTCAATGCTGTTATTTTTAATTTATTTTTTTTTTGCAGCAGGCATAAACTCAAAATTAAAAAGTAAAAAAAAATCTAAGCTTTAACTAATTATGCAGCTGGAAAAATAAAATCCCTCACAAGTTTTTAAGGAATAAGATACTAAGAATCACTCAAAGTTTTTTTATTCATAGTTTAATTTTTAAACCATTTGGCCTGAAGAAAACCCCAATTTAGCTTGAGCAGATGAGGTAA